TACAACCTCTCACAATGGAGGTGGGGCCCACTATTATTTTAATCGCGGGTTTCACCTTCCTTGTGAGAGGTTGTAACTCAATGTTATAATCCATGTGTTGTACATGCAGCATGATTGTTCCAAAATATGTTGTAGTAAAGAAGGGTTACCATTTAATTGACCCAAAAAGCACACGACAGTTGAAGTCCGATATATTGCTAGAGAGTTATCAGGGCTGATATTATTATTTTATTTCATTGTTACTCATTTTATTTTATTTTCCCACACTTTAATTAATTGTCCTAATTAGTCTCGGGTTTTGAGTCCCAATAAAGTTAGGCTTTTTTTTTTCGTGCTTTTGCCTATTTAAATACTAGACATGTTTGATGGTCATTATAAAAAAAAAAAATTGGAGGAAAATTATGTATAGAATTTTTTTTTTTAGAAAATATGTGGTTAAAATAGGAAAAGATTTTAAGTTTACGTGCAAAATATTTTATTATGTGAATGTGTAGATGAAAATGAGTATGAAAAAAAAAAGATAAAGAAAGTCAAATAAGGGCTATTGTGCTCATTATCTTTTGGTTGTTCCTGAATATTAACAAAAGGATTGAAGATTGTTCTTCAAATATTTACCCCAAACATTAGTTCGTGAGTTATATGTTCATAATATTGTATTTCTTGTATTTGCCTTTCGTCAACATCAGTTGATATCAAAGACGGTCATGCTCATGACAATAGATCAAGAACGACATATAGAAGTCGTGCTAATGTTGATTATTAGGATCCTAGTATGAACTAGCAAAAAATCACCATCAACTTGAGGCTTTGGCACAACATATGACCAAATTGGTTGTATATCAACAACAAAGGGTAGGAGACCTAAAGGGAAATGGGCGAGAGGCAAGAGGTAAGGGTCACATTGATGGGTTGGTCACAGGGCGATAGCGTGAACCTAGATCCCAGAGGGAATATAAGGATTTCGATAACCAAACAGTAGTCGTCAATCATGAAATAAGTAGAGCGATAACCGTGGATGGTGGTAGTTAAGATTTGTGTAAGAATGTTAAGATAGAGTCGGGCATATATCTTTTTGCTCCCTTTATTCTCGATCGAGGTCTGATTTAGGTGTAATGTATGGGGGTTTGTTTATGTCCATGCAAAATTCGTCAGCGTACGAGATCATGACAAATAATATATTTAGTAAGTTGAGAGTATTGTCTCATAGTAGCTTTCAGTACTTTGATCATAACTTTTCTCCATATATCTGATTGGGGTGATTCAAATTGTATTAGAAAAATGAATCAAAGGACTACAATTCTTCTGACAATACAATTTTTTCAATTCCAACATTTGCTATCCGAAAAATGGGTCTCAAGTTCAGACTAAAAATTCGGAGCATAACTTCTTAGGCTAAAAATTGATTTGTAAAAATACTTAAATTATATTTCACTTATTTGACCTCCAATTGCATCAAATTGATTATATGTGATCTTCAATCATCATTTTATGGCCCAAATCAACTATTAAATATTTACAATTTGGTCCCCAAGCTTTGGATTTCTTTCGTGTTTGCCCATTTTTAGTTTCTTTTTTCCAATTCCATTAATTTGCATTGAGTTCAACCTAACAAATATAATTAATACATAATTAAGCTATAACTCATTCAAATCACTAACTGATGCTCCAATTTAATGACTAAGATAAGTGTACAAAATACACTTATCAAATACTCTCAAACTTGAACATTTATTTATCTTCAAACAAAACTATAAAAATTTTAAACACGCATGATTAGATAATTTACATTTAGTCTCAGGATTGGAATATATGTATTAAAACTATGAAATGCTACAAAATCACAATGCTAAAATTAATTTTTACTTATCTAATGTAAAATCGACGTGTGTGAAAATTCATATCTAACATCATAAATTCATGAAGTGATTCAAATCCTGACTTTCAATAGTCAAATTTATCATTTCTCCTCTTGTGAGATTCACACCTCCAAACTTATTTATTTAACACTCTCCTAATGTGTGATCTAAGACTGAATTTTATAATATTGGATCATCACCCTCTTTAGTTTAGTTAGATCTTACTAATTGCAATTCAACATATCAACAAATGCCGATTCTCCTTATTTTTTACTGCTTCAACCTCCAAAAATCAACTAGGCTAATAATCTCTTTGTTATATGTCTAATCCCATCAAATAAGTGTTTGAGACTTAATCAAGGCATATAACGATTTTTTTTCCTTTTTTTTTATCTTATGTGTAGACCTCTCTCCATTAAACTTTCTAAATGATTCTTGTAGCAAGCTTTTAGTCAGTAACTCCCAAATTAAATGACTATATGACACCAATTTTAGATACTCTTGCAGATTTAATCACTCGAATTATAAAGGCTACAAATGAAAATTCACAATAAGAAAATATTTATTTTTTGCATGCAATGGTTAGACAATGCCCATTATTAAACATTTATTCTCAAAAACCAACCTCTAACTTAAGATTTTCAGCTAATTTTCATATTATTGCCCTTAGATAATCACACAAAAATTAGCATACATGGAATCCACACTCATCTCAATATCTCACTACAACAGCTCAATTACTCTCAAATTGTCCTAAAATTGTTCAAAGATGTATAATTTAGTGATTATTTGGATTTAGCATCTACGTTCCACTAATTAATGTTTTTCAACATATTCAAAATTTGAATCAAATTATTATTTCATGATGCAAAACATAAATATTGTGTTAAAAATATTAAGTTTCACATGAATAAGTACAAATCAAACCTAATATGTAACGTTTTTCACAATTTATAGTATAACGCATTATTCCAAATACATACATCATAGTAGAAAAATTTATCTAACCCACAAAAGCACACAAAAATAAAAATAAAGTTAAACATAATTTTTTTTTATTTTTGAATTTTTTGGCACGCGAACAATAAAAATAAATAAAAACTCAATATTTTCCTACCCCTAAGCTTATAACAGACATTGTCCTCAATGTTTAAAATTATAACAAATAATATATAAAAATTAATGACAAAGAAGTGAACTAAGTACTCGCCTTATATATATTTGAAGGTGGTGGATGGACTGACATGAAAATTTCTTGCTCACTTGCTATGTCTTTTCCCTTATCCGGTGTGTTCTAGTGTCATGTTCCTTCAAAATAATTAGAAATCAATCATAATATGGAATTTATTATAAGCTCATACACACCCTACAAATGAAGATAACATATACTACTAAAAAGAATAAAAACTACTAATTCCATATTCTAGAAAGCAAAATAAATAAAAATGAAGAAAATTTGGTTGCCTTTCAATAAGCGCTTATTTATAGTTTTTAGC